ACATATTGGCTTTTTTTTTTCTTTTTTCTGTGGAGCAGCTGTTTCTCTTGCAGCTCTGTGTCTCTCCAGACTCCAGTTCTGTAAGAGCAAGGAGGAGAAGAGGAGGAGGGTGTTGGTTGGTGGTGGATGTACGCAGAGAGGTAGGGGGTAGGGAGAGGTCAGGGGATAGACTGTGAGAAAAGTCAAGGATTTCATCTCTGCTGGGGATTGAATGGTAGCTGTATTTTTAAGGTTAGCTTTGGGTATTTATTATATTTATATACTGTATTTTCAAGCCAGTGCTCTGGGATATTTTAGTCAAAGGAACCTGGTTTGTATTTGAGCTGAAAAGAATGTTTTTAAGCACTGGGAAACATTAAGACTTCAGGACAGAGTAATAGATGCCAGTGCTTAGCTTTACTTATTACTACTTGGAATAATGTGGTCTCTGTCCAGAGCGCCACAGAACTGAACCATAATTCCAGCTCCGGCCTCTCGTCTCTTTTCCATTTTAGTATTTACATATCACAGACATGACCTGATGGAACATAGGAAAAAAGTAGCCAGACTGCATCTATAAATGTAAAACAGTGTATGCTCCCACTTCTAGAGATAAGCTTCCTTCTTTTATTCTTTCATTACTCACTATTTAACCATTTTGAGATGGTTGGTGTGTATAAAATCCGTGAATAATTAACCGATTTCGCGAACGTATTTATTAATAATGTATAATATTCCAGTCGATTAGAACTGTAGTCAGTGAATACTTTCCAAATAATGCGCAGAGTGTCTGTTAAATTGCATTTATTCATTGTTTTTCTAGTTAACTGGAGATTTAATACATTTTAACACCCTTATGACTTTAAGCCCGTGGCAACGTGATAGGCATCTTTAATGTATTTTTTTTTTTTGATATTTTATTCCATCTTGGAATTCTGTTTTGGGTAAATGAATAATTCAACATTTAGGGAATCCAAATCGAAAGCAGAGGGTTGAAAGAAAGTCACTGCTCCGATCCAATGAAAGGAACAGTCCTGCATCCAGCTCCCCTTTAAAACCTTATTGTTTTTTACACTTGCAAAGATAAAATAAATTACATATAACACGCCGGCTTTACCAGTGCTGGCAAGCATTTTATTTATTTATTTGCTAACCTTCGAGCAGAGCCACGCTAGCTGTTTTCCTCTGGTCTTTATGCTAAGCTAACTGAATGCGGGCTAGTTTTATATTAACAAGGAAGTGGAATTGATTTTCTCATCTAACATGCTACAAAAAGGAAATAAACAACCTCTCTGACAAAAGAGAACATTTTGACATTTGAGGAATGAATGATTAAATCGGTACCTACTGTTAAAAAGCAAGTTTGAAATGTCATTTAATTTTCTAACAAAGAAAACGACATTTATTATAGCTGATTATTAGTTGACGGCTAATTAATCCTGTTAGGCTCACACCCTGCTGATTTAAAAAAAATAGTTCCATTCCTAACTTCTTGAGCCAGCATTGACATAAATACCATGATATGTGTCCCTTATGTTCTACTTTATTTCACATGTGGATGTAATATTTAAGAAATATACGTTGGACTCATGATGCAGAAAGTGTTGCACTTTCTTCCTCCTAAAAGCAGGCAGTTGGATGAGCTGCTGCTAATTGTATTCCTTCTCTATAATGTGAGTTGGAAGCAGAAGCCTGCACAGCTGCTGTCCCTGCTTTGAGCAAATCTGATATTAAAGCGTCACTGCCTTACAGTAATGTTGATGTCGACTTTGGGACATAAAAATGATTACTGTACCAAAATAGCCTCACAGCTGAATCTGCAGTATGTAACCATGCTGAATACAAAACAGAGCCACAAAACAGGCCGAGTTGTCGTGACAAAGGGTGTCGCTGGCAGTCTCACGCGGTGATGTAGTGTGATAAGGTTACTGTGCGTGCCCCATCCCGCCCCTGTCAGTGGGGTTTGATTGTGTTCCTCTTTGGTCCAGTTGGACTCTGCAGAGAGGATTATTAGAGCTCGGCTGCAGTAGGCCCTTTCAAGCTGTGGCTCAGGCTCCAGAGGACTAACAACAAGTCAGACACTGTCAGATCCAGACTAGTGAGGCCAAGGGCTGATGCTTTGAAGTGGGCTATGAGATTCTCATCTGGAGGGAGAAAAGAAGACAGGGAGAGGTGCAAAGCTCCAGCTAAATAGGCGAGTTGGATCGGCTTCAGAAGCCGCAGAGGTGGGTTTCGCTGAATCCGGAGCCTGCGTGCTATGAATGGCTCCGAAAAACCTGTGAAATTCAAATTTGTGTGAAATAAACAAGTGTGATTTGAGAATTTACAAAAAAAGGAGAGAGGTGTAATGTTGTACAAAGCCCGAAAATACAGATGAAACAGAAAAAAAGAGGAGAAGGGAAAAGAAGATTAAAGTCAAGTAAAAGATTTAGTTGAAGTTTTTCAAGTTGGCAGGGGCGTACAAGTGAAGTAATGATTCTGCAATCAAAGCGGCATAGAAAAAAAAAACGAGGTTAAGAAAGAGGGTTTAATTTGTGGTGATTGTCCTCTGCATAATTCCTCAAACGCCCCCTTAAATCAGCAAAGTTTTTCCTCGTTCTGCCCGTCTACGTAGCCCCGGTTGTGCAAAAGCTACTGACTTAAGGGATTTGAGGCTAGACAGTGCTGTCAGCAACATCACTCCCAGAAAAGTAGTCTGTCAGGATATGTTTACAGATAAGCAGAAAGAGTATGAATTGTGCGGAGCCGCTAGGTGACAAGAAAAGACGCTAATGCAAGAGAGCAGGAGTAATTGAGGACTGTCGAGAAACTGGGGGAGAATAAATCAGTTTGAGCATAGTTTAGGTTTCGAGAATCAAGAGTGCTTACATTGGTGTATGCTTGTATGGTTTTTACTTGGGCATGCATAATTTTATAACTTAACAAGCAGATACGTTTTCCCTTCTGAGGGTATAAACAGTTTTACACACACACATGTTTCGGATTATTTGCAAAAGACTAAAAACACGTAAAAAAAAAACTTTTATGAGAACATTCTCCGCTAACCTTCATAAGCTTCCTCTGCTCTAATCCTTATCGCTGTTTCTTACGCTAACTCCGAAAAATAAATCTCCAACAAAAAGGGGAATAGCCCGGGCTTTCAGATCCTGTGGAAACATTCGGACCTCACACGATAGCAAAAGCAGATGTGTAACCCCGCTTGCTATTGGAATTATCAGATAGTATCAGCGGATCAATCAACGCGCACGCACACGCTGTACGCGGGATTGCGACGGTCTCACTTTCTTCCTGTCTGAAGTAACCTCAACCATGTTTCTGCGTCCCACGAGGAATGCCTTTTATCATGTGACATGGTGGTGGTAGAGGAGGAGGGGGTGGGGGGGGAGGTCGTCAGACAGCTGTTTCCCATCAGCACTCAGTCAACTGCAGTCAGCCAGTCGCAACCCTGCTCAGAGGATCAGAGGGGGCAAAAAGCAGCCGAGTGGAGCTCATGGAGACATGCGGGGGCCAGAATACTTCCAATTAGAAGGTCATCCCAATTTGTTCTCCCATATCCACGCTGCCCCATCAGGCGTCTCTGGCCCGCTCGCCCAGTGTTACACACAAATCCGTAGCCAGAGGTGAACGGGTTGCCGCCATCTGGGAGTGATTATGCCTTTTCCTCATTGTTTCCTGTCTTTTCACCCCAACCCTCTACTGAGTTCTGCTGCTCTGCTCTGCTCTGCTCTGCTCTGCGTTGGCTCGCCTCCCCTTGGCTTGTTCAGGTTCTAAGCCCCCTTCTGTAATTTAAGACTGGGAACGCTTAACAGCAGTCACTCATGCGCAGGCGTCTACATTAGCACATGTTGTTCACCTCATCAGGGGCAGAAATCTGCTCAGTGATATGGAATGAAAGGTTGTTTTGATTACAAAGAAGCCCCGCTTCCCGTCTACACATCTCGACTCCGGTTTCTTCCCTTGCTTCTAATCCTGCAGCCCAACTGTGTGAAGCTGTGATGTTATTCCAGCTAATCAGCAATTTGCTTGAGATGTTGTGGAGGTATAGAGTGTGTAAAGGTGGAAGGAGCTTGAACGTGGCCACCAGAAAATCCACACTCTTCTGTGGGTCTCCTTGGAGTGGATAGGAGTTTACTTTGTCTACTATTTGGCTTCAGAGCTGCAAGATCTTTCCATTTTTTTCTGCACACAGGCTACTCGTTGTGGAAAGATGATAAATTGCTGCGGTAGCTTTCTGCCTCCTGCTAGCAGAGACGTCTGGATCCCACCTTTCTGCAGCTTTATGGCAGTGTATCTTCTCATCTTACTGTCAGTCATTAAAAAAAAGCCAACTTTCTCTGCAGCTAGTCTCAACACAGCGTAGTGTGGAGTAAGGGAGTAACCCCCTGAGGGATCTAGAGAGAGTTTGCCAGCTCTAAAACGGTGAATGAATGAGTAAAATCTAGACGGATGGATGATACTGCAGGGATTGTTAACGCGTTTTGTGCGAGCGCTTGTGCGCTGCTCTTAAAAAAGTGTGATGGACAGAGCTGGCAAACAGCCCTTAATTATGCTGTTATCAACTGGAACTCTTAAGGTTGTATTTGCAACAAGTCAAGTACACAATATCCTGCTGTTCAAGTGGTTTAATTTGTGAGAACACTGTTGCTAGGTGACCAACAATACAGTGGATCACGGCCTAGTTCTCCGTACAAAAAGGAAAAAAAAGGTGGTAATTTTATGTTTATTGCATTGCGTGCTTAGAACAAGAACAGGGTAGACGAATGAAGGACTAATTTAACAAATAAAAAAAAACAGTTCTGACATTTAAAGGGAAAAAAATGAATGTAAAATTCCCACTTGTGAAAGCTGTGAATGCCTCATGAGATGTTGGAATGAATTCCCTGACATGATAAACACCAACCCACTTGAAGGCAGCAATAATATGAACAAATATTATGATTTGTCATTGTCAATTCACGGTCAAACATCATTTAACTCCGTTCTGTTTACCGTTCTTGCTTGTCTGCGTGTGTGTTTTCCAGTTTTGCGTGACGACTTCAGGCAGAACCCCGTGGACGTGATGGTTGCGGTGGGCGAGCCGGCGGTGCTGGAGTGCCAGCCGCCCCGAGGACACCCCGAACCCACCATCTCCTGGAGGAAAGATGGAACCAACTTGGATGACAGAGATGAACGCATCACAGTAAATAAAAATTTGACCTTAAATATGAAGCCCTTTGAACCTCAAGCAGTTTTCTGGCCATTTTTACTCATTGTGGGCTCGTGTTTCACTGCAATGTAAAGTCCTACACCTCTGTGGAATCAGCACAACCTCAATACTACCAAGTGACTACCCATACAATCGATATTTTACAATTTAAACATTTATTCAGTTTCCAAACTTGTCCCCCTACTGTTCTGGGTAAACATAGCCTGCAGTTAAACTTATCGGTTGTGGCCAGGAGAGCAGAATTTAAATTGTAAAACAGAATCTGGTTGGTTCAAACATTTCATTTACTGGCAAATTATTAAAAATGAAACATGCAGAACAGAATTATTATGATAAAATATCACATTTTTAGGGTTAAGTTTTGGTCATTTTCTTGATGGAATAGCACATGACAGATGAGTAGTTGAAAATCTGCAAATTATTTCTGTTTCTGGTTTGAATAAATTGTATAATCTTGTACTTTTTCTAAAAAATATCACACCTTTTAAACCTGTCGGCATGTTTTGGGGTTCAGAGGGTTCAGCACTTTTCTTACTCAGGCTGAAACGAGTTTCATATCAAACTACAAATCCTCAAATTTGAGAAGCTTGGAATTTTCTGTTTATTAACGAATTGCTTCATCTGTTACTTTTGCATGAAAGCTGTTGGGCTCCAAATCAATCACACGGCTTCAGACATAACAGGAATGTACTATTTTGCATAAATCTTTGATATTTAGTTGGACATTTAAAGAACAAATCACCTCTAACCTCAGCAGAAATGTGAAAAAGGCAAGTTTATGAAGCTGAGGTTGCAAAAGTATTCTCTTGCCTGGTCTCCAGACATCGTTCTGGTCCTTACAACCAAAAATGCCAGGAGGAATTTGAAGATATGATTTATTTGGTACAGAACAATGCTAACCATTAAGTTTCAGGGAAAAAAATCAGTCCAGACAAAGCTGCTTTAGATACCTGATGGCACAGTAATAACAAGTGGCAGCAACGTATGATGGTTGTATCCACAGTATGGCATTAATCCAATACATTCAGTTGCCATGTGGCGGGTGGCACATAGCAGTTTTTTTTCTTCTTCTTTTCATGTTTTTGGAAACACTGAATTTATTTTGCATCTGACGGAATTGGCGAGCAAGACCAGGCTTCTCATTCCTTTAACTCAGGAATAAAACCAGGTTTCAGCACCTCAGATACCTTTATGTGTGTGTGTCTGTGTGTGTATATGTGTGTTGATTTGTTTATTTGAATGTCTGTGCGTGCTCCCAGGGACGAGCGGGAGAAGATTCAAAGCTCGCGTTAGTGTGGAGTGACAGGTAGAGTCTCTCTGGGGGACTGTGATGGACGGAGCAGCTATCTCTGATTTAGGGAGAGGAGCGGATCAGAGCCAGGGGGGGTGAGGCTCCTCTGAGGGAAATACAAAGGCTGCTTTCTGCTTTGTACTTTCTACGTGCCCGTCTTTGTCCTCCCTAATCATCTTTTCTATATGGAAATGTGTCTTTGCCATGAGTGTTCACTCAAAGACATTACTTACTGTACAAAGACCAAAGGAGTCCACCGCAAGTGATTCATGGCTACTTTCCATCCCTTTCGAGTGTTTCCCTTGCGGCGCGGACCTTCAGTTATTAATAGTGATATGTAGATAAAGTTGTGTGTAAATTCTTAATAACAATTTGGAGAAGCCCACCAGGAAACCGTGATTTATGGATTGTAATTTAAAAAAAAGTTGAGCTCCTTTATGCGGCAGGATTCACGTAAATCACGCTATAAGTGGCCTCAGAATGTATGAGCCTTCAGAATATCTGAGGCTATGTGAAGAAGAAAGAGGAACACATTGAAACAGAGCAGAAATGAAAGCTGAGGTTTCAGTGTAGGAGGTGGAGGGTAGGCAAACCGCATTTGGATTTTTCTTAGCAATGCAACTGCTGCTAAAAATGAGGAGCAGTCGATTTAGAAAATGAAAAAAAAAAAAAGAGAGAGCTCTTGGTCTGCTCTTTAATCAACTTGAAATCATTTTGAATTGAATCATACTGCTGCACTGCTAACTTCAAGTGCAGCAGTATTCACAGCAAGCAGCAAAAGTTGCAGAATGCAGTCGGTTATGTCAACTTTGAAGTCTTCGAGAGCCGCTTCACACGAAACAGGGCTTCCTACAAAATGTGATATTTATTCATCAAAAGGGATTGTTTAGTTAATTAATTATCGCACAGTCACCGTGGTCCAAATGACCTCATATCCACGAAAAGTCCCAAAGCTCTTTATCCGGGATTCAGCTACTCTAGGTAATTGAAGTCATCTGAAATCAATGCGGTTATGCATTTGATGAAACCTATTAGATCTCACTCTGGGAAATGAAAAACTAAAGTACAGGGAAGCTTAGGACCCAATACCAATGCATGTCTCCACATCACAGAGCCCCCCTATTTGATATGTGTGGCTATATTGTGCCAATTTCTCTCATAAGTCTTATTTATTTTGTGCATGGAAAGCTACACAAAATCTCAGTTTGTCTTTTTAATATGTAATTGTTTTCAGACAAATGCTGATGCTGCCAAAACATGCAGCCTGTGTTGCTTGCTAGGATTCCAACAGTGATGTTCTGGTATCACTGACAGCTCATTCATGGCGGCTTAAACACCCCCGTTGCGGCGCGCAGTTGTGCAGTTATGTTTTCAGTCAAATATAGAAACGTTTTGCTTTGGCCCTAATGCGATCCAAACATCTAACCCCAATTTATTGAATGCTGACAGGAATGGCTGAATCTGCAATACTAGTTTCCAGATTCCTCCCTCTGATTACCAGCGGTTGGCATTGTGCGTCGAAAGTACACACGACCGCAAGGCGCACCACAGTTTGTTGAGTCTTCCTCTTGAAACCACATCATTTACAACAAATTTGGAATGTCAACCATAGTTAGGCCGCTCTTAGTTTTTATTTATTTGGTGGACAGTGTGAGCTGTTTGTGGTGGGAGGTTAGCCCGGAGGGGGCTGACTAATAAATGAAGGGCTCCTGGTTCACCCCTGCAGGAGCAATTTAATGATGTATTCCATCTGTAAGCTGGTGAGTGAGGAGAGCCCACCAAGCCAGGTGCCGTCTAGCATGACGCCGAGTCGCTCGGCCCTGCTTTATGGACACGGCACGGTAGGCAGCCTTGACTTCTGACCTCCGTTAAGAAATGGCAGAGCCGTGCTATGTGCTCCGCGTGTCTGCAGCAGGCTTATATGAATAGCAAGATTCCATTCCCTTGTGCGAGTAGGAAAGAAGCAATCTCAAAGCATAATAACCGGGCTGAAAGTTTAATTGAAGCTGATGCCTCGGAGAAGATTTCAGATGTCTGGTTTGCAGAGAACGTCTTTGTGTTTGTCTCGAGGTCTTCGGATCACCATGTTTCCCTTCTGCAGTATCATGTCTACTCAATCCTGCTCTGGTATCACCTCTAACACTGGGTAGCTGCAGACTTTCAGCACAGAGGCAACATTCAAAGCATCATAAAGACAGCTACCGTGGTCTGCGGGGGCGTGTTGTGGATAGCAAAAGACTGAAAACAGCATGCAGTGTGTATGTCTTCGACCTCTTTGTTGTGTGTGTGTGTGTGCAGATGGGCGTACAGAGAAGGTAAAAAGTTTGGAAAAGGCAAAGTAGGCTGATAGAACATCTAAGAAACATCTCTACAAAGAAGCCGCGTCTTTGTTCCCGGGGTTTCTTGTGTAGCACTAGATATGAATTATGTAATTTCATAATGGGTGACCTTCGTGCTGCTTGAAAGGCAGAGCAAATTCTTTTCCTCAGATATGGAGGGCCATACTGATGCGCGCAGGCTTACACAACGCTACGTGCTGTTGTGCCATCGAGAGCACAAAAAAACAAAAAAATGGGTATTTTCAAGTGCAAGATAGCCAAAGATGTGATTACATGTGGGTGGCTTTGTCACAGAAGATTCGAGCTGTGGCACATTTTATCATAAAATTTACAAATTGCGGCCACATCGTTACATGAATTATGAATATGCCGGTTACTCACAAACGAAGGACGGTAAGATGATGTGCAAATACAGCTGTGCAAATATTTCCTCTGCTTTCTTTTAGATTCGGAGCGGCAAGCTGATGATCACCAACACGAGGAAGAGCGACGCGGGGAAATACATCTGCGTCGGAACCAACATGGTGGGAGAGAGGGAGAGCGAGATCGCTGAACTCACGGTGCTTGGTAAAAGAAAATTTTGTGATTGCGTTTCGCCGTGTTGCAGTGCTTCACTTAGTCTGAGTGCTCTCTCGGCTCGTGGTGGGTTTAGGTTGCCGGTCTACTGTGTGAGGTTTTTTTTTGTCACTGGGGCATAATATTGCATTAATTATGCTGATTATGCAGCGCTAAGATCCAGTGTGGCAGCTTCGGTGAGGTTTCCCACCAAACACGTGCTGAACATCTACTGCTGCTGCATCCAATGTTATAACCTCTCAGTGTAAGAGTTCCCTGTGGTACTGTACTTCTGACACCCCCCCCCACACCCCCAAATGCCTGCTTCCAACCTCTATTATCCACCCCCCACCTATTTCCCCGACACTTTCCATCAGAATAGAGCTCTTACCAGCACCACATGGTTAAATGACCTTCGTTTTAGGTTTCAAATATTCAGTGTAGGGCCTCGTAGAGCCTTTCAAGGCTATGAGAATTACCCTGCTGAATGCGAAAACAGGTCAACACGCTGTTCTACAAGCTGTACATAATAAACGCCAGAGACGTATTGAAATAGATTATCTCTAGTATCTCAAATTTTTCAAAACTATATGATAATTTTATTCACTTTGCTTGTTTACTACGTGTATTTGTTTGGAGGGGTGATCTTGTAGAATTCCTCATCCACTTTGTTGGCGTCGTGGCAACCTGACTTTAATGCAAATATGTGAGTAGCGAATAATAATGATAGCAAAAAGTTGAATCTCTTAAAAATGCACATGAATTTCAGGATATCATAGGATTTTCTTTGCCTCCTTTTAGCTCTAATGACAGCAGCACACATGCTGGCATTAGCTCGACATGTTAATACAATCCTGATAACCCATATAACAATGTGCCACAGAGGTTCCTTGTGAATGTTCGGCTGTCTTCAGATGCCCCACTAATGTTCAGAGGGGTTGAGATCAGGTGACTGTGAAGTCAGCACTCCTTAGTCCTCTTTGGACTACAAGTAGTTCTTAAAAACGTTTTGGCTTCGTACCCTGCTGTAGTATAAAACCTTCCAGACAAAGATGCCAACCAGAGTGTGTGGAATATCTCTGAAGAATAGGATTCTAGTTTTAATGCAAGTCTCCAATTTCAGAATAGACAAAACACCCCCAGACTTTAGTATTCCTACTGACATGCTTCACTGTTGTTCTGATTCACTGAACTATCATCCTCTCCTCCGCTCTCCTCCTTACACATCATTCTGTTACTGCCACAAATCTCTGAATTGGATTCATCAGTCAAAAGGACCTTTTTTTTTTTTTGCAGTAATCCAAAGTGAAATGTTGGTATGTCTTCGCCCACCTCAAGTGTTCGGCTTTGTGTCACTTCCTGAGAAGTTATTTAAACACTACTTGTACTCTGAGCCACTACTAGATAACTTTCTTTTGACAGGACTTTTGCTGATTGGAGTCTTACATTCTTCACTGAGAAAATTCACTATCTGTGATGAAGTTGCTTTTCTATCACTGAATGACAATTTGACTTCTGACACTTTCATTTAGTTCTGGTACCATGTTTCTGACTAACACAGTGTAAGCACCGATCTGCTGGAAAATGGAGGTACAATCATATTTGTAAGAAAAAGGGCTGCAAGTTGTTTTACTAGAACAAGCCCCATGAGTTGATCAAATCCTTCATCTGAATGCTTCTAATTTGAAGGACACTACTTAAGGAAACCTCTCTTATGTACACTGCAGTTCACATGTCACTTTCCAAAATGTTCTTAAATCTAACTGCTGACCTAGAAACAGTGCAGAATGTCATTTATGTCTTCTTTCCTTTACGATAATATATTGCGTGTTTAAAAGATCCTAAACCTTCTGATTACTTCCAGGTTTCCATGAAAATAAGACAGATTTTGGATGTGACCCCAGACTTCTGGACCACTCTGTAGATGGCACTCACGAGCATTATGATAGTGATGATTATACTGACGTTTGTGTTTCCAGAGCGGCCGACCTTTGTGAAGCGGCCCAGCAGTGTGGTGGTGTTGGCAGACGAGAGTGTGGAGTTCCACTGTGTGGTTCAAGGAGACCCTGTTCCCACTGTCCGCTGGAGGAAAGATGATTCTGACCTGCCTAAGGGCAGGTAACTCACAAAGGCCCTCCACATACAGTAATTTACCATGCAAACATGCATTTCAACTTGGTCTTTCATCTCTTGAGAGTGTGTGTCCATCCTGCCTGCAGATTTGAAATCCTCGAGGACCATACCTTGATAGTTCGCCAAGTGACCTCTTCAGATGAGGGCTCCTATACATGTGTGGTGGAGAACATGGTTGGGAAGTCTGAAGCATCCGCCACGCTTAATGTACACGGTCAGTACAACCCGACCTTCACACGTAATGTCCTCCAACCGTAGCGCCACCTTCTCTCATATATACAGTTCACACACTTATTCAAAGGCCTCGGGGTTTCTTTTCACGGATGAGAAGTGTTTGCCAGACAGTTGTTCCTAATCTAACAGGAGAACTAATCCTGTCTCGTAGTGTCGCAAATTAGCAAGGAGTGACTTTTACACAGCCCGGCCTTTTATCCAGACCTGGTTTTCGTTATTGTGCCTTAGGTTGCCGTTGCTCTCAAGCCAGTACAGACAGGCAGAATTATCTCTGGGGTTTTCATGTGTGTGTTTTTGTGTTCTTTTCACTTCCTGGCTGGAGGTCATACAAAGTCTGCAGCAGTCACCACGTCTAACTAACGAGCACTATAAGACAATGCAGGAGTTTGTTTACGGTGCGTTTCATAGTAATGTCCTGTGTAAACTGAAAAGAACGTGCTAAGTAAATGTTTACGTGGCCGCGGAAAATGGATTCATTTGGTTGTCGTGCCACAATGACACCCTTTAGTTCTTAAATCAGCGGCAGGAAATGAGCAGTAAGACAACTCTCACGGTTGCGCACACACACTTATGCACATAAACTCTCACACACATGGCAGTGACACAGTGGGTGACATATAATGTGAGGACAGTAGGACTTAATTAAAGATAAGGCAGGGCTGGCTGCATGCTGGGAAGTGACATGGTTCCAATTACGCTGTCTTCCTCCAAAAAAAAACGCTAAAAAAAATGAGTATCAAGGGGGACCATAGCTAATTTGGACAGTAAATGGAGAAGAGCAGGAGTATGGCACATGAGCAGCAGCTGCATTATAGAAGGAATAAAAAAAAGGGGAATTATCTAAGTAAATGCATGCTTCATAAATAAGATATGCTCTCTGTCTTAACCTCTGGCTAGCTCATATCATAGCTAACCGCAGATTCATTTTTACTGACCTAGAACATTTGGTTGATATTAAACAATTGCCATTTGAAACAGATGTAGCAGGCCAGGGAGCTTACTCATTGGAAGGTCTGCGTAGGTTCCAAGTCCGAAATGAAACGACATCGCGCTGCACTCATTAAAATAATCTGTATTCTTTCAGACATCGGCTCGAAAAGAAGAAAGAGATAAATTAATTAAAGTTATATATGAATCATGTCTTCCAGACAAGTTGCCTAAACCCGGCCTCACCACAGTCATCCTCTCACAGTAGTTCCAAAACCGTCCGCGCAGCTAGCCATTCATTTCGCTGTAAATCTAGTTTACAGATGTCAAGATGTTCGGTTGTTCCCATCTCCAAATGCGTCTTTGTTTGTGCGGTGCATTTAGAACAGCAGAGTTCCCTGTATAGCACCGGCAGCAGCAGCAGCCTGCTCCATCCAGACACAATGCCCCGTCCTCACCCCTTCACATGTTTATGTCCTCATTAGGCGATCGTATCTTTGTCCAAACATGCCTCCAGGCTGGCTGTCTGTGTGACTCACACCAGCGGTTACATATATTTTACACATGTCACCCTCGACGTCACTGTCATCTGTATTTATTTGTCCTTCTCTGCCTCTCTTGTGTTTGTGTGCAGACGAGGAATTAATGAAATACAATGAATATTCTCATGACCACCTGCTTACTTTAAAGAGTGTTGTGGAAGTAGAAGGAAATTAATGAGATTTAAAAAAAAAAAGTTCAACAGGGAGACCCATAATGACCTTAGAGGCAAATGGCTGCAAGGACACACAGAAGTACTACAAACAGATGCGAAATGATTACAAAGAGACGTAAAACAACCAACACGAACGCTCTAAGCGACTATAAAGAGACACAAAGAAATGTTTTCAGTTTGGGTGACTCGTGTGCTCCTATATGTAAGAGGGGTGGGGGGCCTTTTACACACCAGGGACCCACAGTCTCATAATCTGTCCATGACTTGTACTTTTTTTTGCTTGTTAAACTGTCCAGCTCCATTATGCTCTCTCATTCATGCATGTGACACAACTATGAACTTCACCATTGCATCATTTCCCTGATTACTCATTACACTGCTCTGTTTTGTGTCTTTCCCTCTTGTAGTCAATACTGGTAAGTTGTCATCCATCCCTCATCCACCATCAAACAGCAACAGGAGCCCCTGTCACTGTCCTATCTGCACTGTAGTTCCACCCACCACTACAGTATGTAATCCATGTTATGTGTGGGTAAATCAATAAATATGTGATGTTTTTTTCAGTTGATACAGGTAAAAACAAATGAGCGCTGCTTTAGTTCCTTGAGCTCTTTATGCACACTGACATGTTCTAAAGCTAAAGAATGCTGGGAATATGTCAGGCTGCCAGGTAATTAGTACCTCTCTTCCTCTGCAGTGCCCCCAGCATTTGCCATACGCCCCAGGAACCAGGTGGTGGCAGTGGGCAGGACGGTCACCTTCCAGTGTGAGGCTACCGGCAACCCACAACCCGCTATTTTCTGGCAGAGGGAAGGCAGCGAGGTGAGACTGACCCTCAGTCTGTCATCACACTAAATCACTACGCAGTGTAAATAAAGATAATGAATGGGTTTCGAACTGTGATCTCCGTCTCCCCTCCAGAGTCTTCTGTTTTCTTACCAGCCGCCGCAGCCCTTCAGCCGTCTGTCTGTCTCCCAGATGGGCAGTTTGACCATTACCGATGTTCAGCGCGCTGATGGCGGCTTCTACAGCTGCCAGGCTCTCAACATCGCTGGCAGTGTCATTACCAAAGCGCTGCTGGAGGTTACAGACTGTGAGTAGAAGCGAAGGAGTGATGGAGTGTTGATTTCACGGGGTGGGGGGGGACTTTTATGAGGCACTTTGCAAGCCTCATTCTTTTGTCTTTTTGGCTAAACAGACTGCTTTGCCGCTGCAGTTTTCCCTTTGTTACACAGGTAATATTAGGCTACAGTTTTGCTTCGGTTGCAGACCGGTGAAAGCAGCCTCCCTTATGGGTGTGGTAGTTGGCCTTGGTTACTGTCAGGGGAGGGATTTCAAGAGATGTTATTCACATGTTGGACTCAAAATTCTCTGTTTCCGTGGTGACTGTCTGTAGAGAGTGCCTGTCTTTACCTCTTTTATCTCTAAAAATACAAAATTTCCCAGCTAGAAACCGTGTAGGAAACTAAAAAGGAATATTCATAATCCAATGTAACCTAGTTTGCATTATTTAGAACAGTCTTTGTTCTATTTGGCTGCAGACTCCAGGACATATGATGTCATTTACAGGTACTTTTTAATAGAAATTGGTCTGAGGGACTTTCACCCAAATCCTGCATGTTGAAATAGCTGTGTTAATTGCATTAAAAAAAAAAGCAATTTAAATGTGCTTGGAGGCCCATACCAGTAATTACACACCTGTGTGATCATGAATACATGTGTCTGTGTAACTTTGCACTATGCACATACATTACATTAATGAAGATAATTGCTTCAGGTTTTAACAGGTAGTTAATGCACCTACACATTGAGTTGTTCGGTGCAGCCCTGTTAATTATAATGGACAATCCTTTGCTCATATTGGTAATGTGCTCTGCAGCCACCTCAGTAGGGAAATGAAAGGTATCCACTCAGTGGAGATAGAAAAGAGAAGGGGAGGAGGGGGAGGTGTAATTTTTTCTCAGTGGTCTGTACTCTCACTTGTACTTGTTTCTCTCTGCTCTGCTCCCCCCCCTCCCCTCAAATTCTGTCCATCCTACCGCACTCCTCTCATCCCCCTTTTGGAGTGGTGCATTTGTATGGTAATAACTGGTTCACATTACCTCTGGCAGTTTTCAAGGCATGTTTCCATCACCTTTTTTTTTTTTTTTGGAGTATTATTTATTTATTTATTTGTTTCTCCACAACCCCTGCCCCCATCCACAGGCTTTTTAAAATGTGAGAGAGACAGAGAGAGAGCTCCGTTATCTAAGTGGGACTGTTATTAGTTGGGCTCCGCCGTCATGATTGGATCCGGCTCCAGCGGTACCTACTACCCCATGAATGATTAGTTGCTCTCCGCTGGAGGGGAAAAGTTGATTTCTTTTTTCCTTTCGCTGCCTGCACAGCCACCTAAGCCTATTGTTCTCCCTCTTTACCAATTTTCCTCTCAATATCTTTCACATCTTATCTGTCTCCTGTTTTTTTTTTTTCAGCATTTCATTTTCTCTACTTTCATCTTTCTTACTTTTATTTCTCTCTCTCTCTCTGTATAACTTTGAACTTTTAGGAACATCAACTTGCAGTTTCTCCCTTAATAACAGACTGTTGACAGGGATGCTTGTTTTGGGAGGATTTTGCCTTTGTTCAGTGGTGACAGTATAGACACAGATGGACAAATGCATTGTGGGATGTGGGAGTCTGGTAGGGGAAGGTCCCAATCAGGATAAAATTGCTGATGTGCAGTTATATGCATCCTAACTACTTGGCTGACTGACCACCCTTACTGTATTGTGTATGAAGCCCCTATAAGACATACACACATGCCCACTTGATGGCTGAATGACCACTCTGCTCAATTTTTGGCAAAAGTTGCCTCAGCAGTGTTATTAGGCTGGACCATCTCTGAATCACTGTCAAAACAGCACAAGTCTGAATACTTGCATTAACAAGCAACACACACTGAGTTGTGTGAAGCAGTTTGGGGAGGCTTATTTCACATTTCAGTGCCAAAATTGGTCATAAATAACATAATCAGCAGCAGGATCTATATGAGCATGTCCAAAGCAAGAGAGTTGTGCACATTTACACGCAGGAAAACTTTAGTAACTTCATCATTTACTTAGAATTAGAAATTAGCCAGACAGTAGACCAAATTACAAGTCACACTGTGTTACTTTTTTCACACAGGTGAGCAGTAGCAGACAGAGTCATATTTATGACCAACTGAAATACAAATGATGGCCATCCACACGTTGAATCCTGAGCCCTGAGTATATTTTGTTGTACATAAAGTATAAGTTAGCTCGTTGTCACACATGTGCAGAATGTTAAGCAAGTAGAAAATCATAAGTAAAGTAGATTATTTGGACAGTTTGATAAGCTTTCTACTCGTCTAGCTTTAGTCTTTTGTTGAGTAGAGCATGATTGTGCTTTTTACATCACTGCGTATACTGTCCAATCCATCATGTGTAACAAATATTGCTGTCACCGTGTTGGGTTTGTCTGAATGAAGCCATGTGGAACATTAACATAAATGTGACCAATGTCTGAATGACAGAATGTTGTCACTTTACCAGATTGATGAAGCCAGCGATGTTCTGTTTCCTATGTCACAAAAGGGCTAAAGAAACTATATGACCCTTAACATTTTGGGTTAATAGTGACAGTTTGCAAGTGAACTAAATATATCTATTTTATTGTTTCAAAAAAAAAACTTAATATATGTTTGGAATTTCTCAAAAGTATATTTTGGTGTAAATAGGCACGTTTCATAGGCGGTAGAGTTGGACTATTGGATAGCAATACCACTACTGAATTTGCCAAATAGCAAATAAAATGTTTTCTTAGAGGGCTGCAGGGTGGCGCAGTTGGTAGCACTGTTGCCTTGCAGCAAGAAGGTTGCTGGTTCGCGTCCCGGTGGGGGCACCGGAATCTTGTATCTTGCATGTTCACCCCGTGCAGCGTGGGTTCTCTCCGGGTTCTCCGGCTTCCTCCCACAAGGTCCAAAAACATGTTGAGGTTAATTGTTGATTCCAAATTGTCCGTAGGTGTGAATGTGAGTGTGCTTGGTTGTCTGTCTCTAAGTGTATAGATAATGGATGGATGAATGTTTTCTAAGAATCCTTGGCTTCATATTTTAATTTGTTGTCAGTGTTTTCTACATTTAAAAAAAAAATCTTTCCGGCGTAAATCAGATACATAGTCTGAAATAGAATAGAAATATTTCACTGTGTTATGCAGTATATAATATGCAATGGGGCTACGGGGAACGTGTTAACATTGCTATTCTTACACTTTCCCACTTCTGTGTTTTTTATTAGCTGGGTCAGACCACCCTCCTCCTGTCATTAGACAGGGCCCAATCAATCAGACTGTTTCTGTGGACAGCACCGTAGAACTGGGCTGCCAGACGGCTGGTACTCCACCGCCGACTGTCCACTGGAAGAAGGATGGCGTGGTGGTATCTCCCGTGGACTCCCGTATGTCGCTAACAGAAACAGGATCGCTGAAGATTCACTATGCTAAGGTAAGGGATGAATAAATACAGCAGTTTGTGAGAACGGGCACTGAGCCAAGCCAGCCTGCTGATGTCTGCTCCTGTACCTGCTCTCCTCAGCTGGGAGATACAGGCTTCTACACGTGTGTAGCTTCTAGTCCCAATGGAGAAGCTTCTTGGACAGCGTACCTGCAAGTAGAGGGTAAGTTGTTCACATTAAGACACAGCTAGAAAAATGTATGTTTGCTGAAGAGTCCTGTGATGATTAACCTGTTAATGAATTTGTTGTACCAGAGTTTGGAGTTGTTGTGCAGTCCGGACAACCGGCCGACCCCAACCTGATCCCCAGTGCTCCATCTAAACCTGACGTGACTGATGTCAGCCGTACTTCAGTCACTCTGTCATGGAAATCTAGCACCACTGCTGGTGCATCAGCTACATCTTACATCATTGAAGCATTCAGGTGAGACGTTATGCAGAAATATATTTTAGCTACTCTGTCTTTATGACATACCTGAAGCTTGATGAAACACCCCTTGTATTTATGTCTTATCATTCCTTGCCTCTGTCTGCAGTTATACATTAGGCAGCAGATGGGTGACCCTGGCTGAGCATGTGAAGGCACAGACGTTTGTCGTGAGAAACCTGAAGCCTGGAGCTGTCTACCTCTTTATGGTCAGAGCTGTGAATGCTCACGGCCTCAGTGACCCCAGTCCAATCTCTGACTCTGTCAGAACACAGGGTCAGTGTGGGTTTTTCTTGCCTTTGTTTAAACTTTTAAAGCTTTCAGCTCAACTGAAAAGAAACCATTTCACTTCAGATAAGTGAGTCATTTTTCATATTTTATCTTCTTTCCTTCCTTTGGTGCATACAGACAGCACCTCCACCATGCAGGGAGTGGACCACCGTCACATCCAGAGGGAGCTTGGAGATGTTGTGATCCACCTGCACACTCCAATTGTCCTTTCATCTTCTGCTGTCAGGGTGCAGTGGATGGTAAGGGGACCGAATCATCTTTGTTGTCTTGTTCATGCTCAGTGTTTTTGTGCCTCATGTGGTCAGAGTTGTGAAATTTTAAGTAAATTACCAAAAAGGTCAAATGTGGAATTCAGCCAGTGCATGTAAACACATACTTTGCTTTAACAAATGACATAGAAGCCAAGAGGTCAGAGGGCC